ACTGTAAGGCTTTGGAAAACCAGGCCCTGTGAAGTACATTTGCTTTATGCATACTCCACATTGTTTTTTCATGTTTCTTGTTTCCCTGTGTTGATATTTGTGCATATGGTGGAACAGTCACCTCTTTGTTTTTTGTACAGTGGCTTGAATGTGGAAAGACTTTCAGTTGCAAATGCATCCTAGGATTTTGACTGGGTACAGTACAATGGCTTTGTTCTGGACAGGTGCATTGGTGTTGACTGTAGTTTCTTCATCTGTAATTCACTTCTGCTTTGTCTATGATTGACTCAGTGGCCTATGCTTGGGAGGCTTGTGACAGTTGTGGCACAGCTATTCTGGGGTAGGTTTCACTGCATTGGGTCACAGGTGGGGGGTGTACACATGCACACTGTGGGTCAGTCAACTTGGGACATGGCTTACTGGGGATGGAGTTGCTGGATTGATTCTCAGGCATGGGTGTGTGGCATGTCAGGGTCTCTGTGATTGGTTTGCCATTGGTAGGGTCATTGTACTGGTTCTCTGAGTAGGGGCAGACCCACCAGGGGCCCATCAGTCAGGACATTTCTCACTCAGATGCATGTGTATGATGGCTCAAAGACTCCTGGGCAGGTCTTCCAGGGGCATGACAAACTGAGCTGTTTCTCTGAGCCAGAGGTATGGATGTGCTTTGGTTTGGCTAGGTGGGTGCAGGTCTGCTGGTGGCCCATCAGCTGTGCCACTTCTTGGGGCCAGGTGTGAGGTTGTGTTTTTCTTGGCAGTTCAGGAATGGGTCTGCCAAGGACAGGGATGGTGAGCTTCTTCTTGGGTGGGGGTTGAGGCTGCTGAGTGGGGCTACAGAGAGGGGATCTGGCCAGCCACTTGGTTGGTGGGTGAAGTCAGGAAGAGGGCCAACTGAGAGTTTGCCTGGCCAGCTGCTTCTTTGGTTGTGGGTGAAGCCTCAAGTTGGAGCTGCAGAGAGGGGGCCTGTTCAGCCACTTCTTGGTTGGCGTGCAAGACCACTAGGCAGACTGCATAAAGGGGGACTGGCCAGCCACTTCTTGGACAGAGGATGAGGCTGTTAGGAAGTCCTGCAGAGAGGGGCCCCAGCTAGCTATGTCTTGTATGGTGGGTGAGGCCTCAAGGAGGAGCTGTAAAAAGGGGGCTCATTTAGCCACTGTTCAGGTGGTGGATGAGGTTTTGAAGCTGGGTTGCCAAGAAGGGGCCCAGCCAGCCACCACTCTAGTGCTGGGCTATGCCTCAAGGCGGAGTTGTAGGGAGGGGTCCTTGACAGCAACTTTTTAGGTGGTGGGGGCCACTAGGCAGGCCTGTGGTGAGGCCCAGCCAGCCACTTCTTGCCCCAGCCTCAAGGCAGGGTTGTTGATGCACTTTCTTTCCACCAGCCTGAGGGCATATTCGTTAGGGTGGAGACTTGAGAGCAGTTTTTCTGGGTTTGGGGGTCAGGCGCACACAACTCAGTCAGCTGGTGGTGGTCGTCCTCAGGAGGCTTGTCAGTCTGTCTGATCTCTGGCCAGAGATGTGGGGTGCCTCCGCTTGGTGTGCCTGGGGTGTCTTTTCAGCTTGCAGGACTAGAGTCACAACGGCTGTGGGCCCAGGCTTCAAGCTTCTGGGATCAGGGCATTGAAGCCTTTCTTGTGCATGCATTGGAATGCAGTTGGAATGCAGAATCCTTAAGGCTGGGGAAAGCTGTGTTTACTTACCCCCCAGCAGAATGTGCTCCAGCAGTGGCTCTGGTTTCAAGATGGTGCTGTACTGCATTGCTCGTGTCTGGGGTGGGGGGCGGGGAGTGCACATGTGCGCTCCTGTTCTAGAGCAGTGCAGTGCGTGTATTCTAGGCAGTGCCCACACTTGGCTCTGGCCTTGTCATGGCTGTGGAATCCTCCTGCAAAAGGAGTTGCAGGCCTCTGTGGTGAGGATGGGG